GAAGTTGCTGATGTTTGCAGTTTTCCTGATTGCACGTGTGTGTGTGTGTGTGTGTGTGTGTGTGTGTGTGTGTGTGTGTGTTTGACTGCTGGTTATGCAAACAAGGACACACACTCTACATAATATGTAGCCATTACAGCTACATGGCTAACCAATACCTGTACACTAACCTTGACCTCAACCCCAAGCTGTATTACCAACAGGCAAATTGTGCAATTTCCCAAGTCCCCAGACCCATTGGGGCAATAAAAGCCCTGTTGATATGTGGTAATATCATCAACTGTAGCTTCGCCTCAGCACTAAAGTGCAATATCAACTGTCAGAAATTATGGCCCAGTCTTGCAGCACATCCTTTTGTCAAAATTTTGTTTAAAAGGAAAACACACATAATGGAAATTACTCTTATTAGCTTTATTGCCTCGAGTTAGGACTCAAAAGCACTGAAAGTGTATGATGCACTTGTTTTGAAGTGCACCTATTGTTTTAAATGGCTGAACATGCACCAAAAGTGTTGTAAGGCACGTCAAACTGCTTTGACAGCCCTACTCTGACCTTGTTTTGATTTTGGAGCATCCAATTGGCACCAAAGACCAAAGCTGTTTTCTGCAGCTGCAGTTGTGCTGAGGTGTGCCTGCCTGCCGAGATCTACATGCACCTCATGGTAGCCTGCACAGTGTAAAGCGAAAACTACTGCACTTTTTAATGATCCCTAAAGCAAAGAACCGTTTAAAAACTAAAAAATCTTCATTGTGGGGTTCATCAATGGTGATAAATGTTCTGAAGGTGCATTTACAGTCACCAATGTTTTATTAGACTCAGTAGAAGTAGCATTTCCCTGATACGATTGGTCTGAACTTTGCAAGGCTTCCTTGATTAATCTCTCAATATTTCTAAATAGTGGGGTGGTATAGCTCACAAAATGAAGACAGTTGTTCAGCTGAGGTTAAAAGCACCAAATTTGGTACATACATAGCCTAATATATGTAGAAGACATCTGGATATCAGGGCGTCGCAGACTGGCATTCTGATGACCATGGTCGCAGAATCCAATATGGCCCCCACCCGAAAACAGTTTTGGCTCTAACTCTTGAACCAGATGAGCTACAAATGCAAACTCTTTGTCTGTTTTGTGTTTTTTTATTTTTATTTATTTATTTATTTTTTTTACCATATTTATGATTATTTTTATGATTGGATGTATCAGGATCCATAATTTTCCAAGATGGTGTCTACATAAAATAAAGTTGTTGTTTTTTTAACTCTTTTGGAAAACTTGGTGTCTATTTCATATTTTTAAGCATTAGGAACACACTGGAATACTCAGATTCATTGTTTATTTTTAAATCATATTGTATTTTATGTCCATTATTTTCCCACAGATTGAGTTGTGGGGATAAGTTCATGTGAAGAATAAATCCTGGGTAATACTCATCTAACCACGAGCACACATTCACACACTGAAAAAAGCAGAAACGTTGCCAGCCAATCAGGACATGCCTATCGGAATATGCGCAGACCACACAGTATATAGGGAGGCAGATTCCCACATCCGACATCCTACACCGTCTTTAGTGAGTGGTGTAGGAGCGACAGGGCACCTAGGTAGAGGGCTTGACCTATTCTAAAAGAACTAGGGTTACAGTATTGTAACCTTTGTTCTATCTCACTCAGGCTCTGCCCTCTATTGGACTCTGTGGGTACAGGGAGTGGAGCTCAATGACTGAACGCCCTGTCTCAACATAACATTGGGCCTAGCCTTACTGAATCCAACTATGAACGGACGGGGTATAGACCACAACGCTGCTGTACATATGTGCTCGTAACTCACCCTGCTAAACAAGGCTGTCGACGCTGTCACACCTTGTGTGGAGTGTACATCCACCATAGTGGGAGTATCCCTGCCTGTAGGCTTGGGAGAGGCATTTTTGCCTCCTTATCCCCCTCGTGGGGTGGAGGACAAAAAGCATCCTAAACAAATTTCTTATGTTCTTGGGAACAAAGACGGTTTTTGGTGCACCGATAGGGCAGTTAGTTCACACACTCTCTTAGCTGAGGTCAACACAAGCAGCAAAGCTGCCTTGGCCTTCAGAGAGGGGGTCTAGCCTCATTTCCTCGCACCAACATTGGAACCCTAATCATTGTGCCTTGTAACAGGCAGTGGTGAACCCCACTCTCAATGCCTGGATGGTCTGCACACCCTTCACAGACAATTCAGCCCTCCTCAGTCTTGACTCACTTTCTCCAACAGGGCAGGGATGAGACAGAGGGGCACAGAGGTGTAAAGTAGCTTTCTTGGCCATGGCACACGTGCAAACATGTTCACCCCCGGGGCAAGTTGTGGCGCCAGGGAGAACCATAGTTGACTGTAAGTGTTGCGTTGGTTAACACACACACCCACTTCCACTTTCGAGCTCAGTCCAGATCTGCCTCACCACCTCAGGGTGAAGCATCCACTCACTTAGTAGCCAGAAGGCAAAGCTTTTGATTTTCTGGTCCATCTACATCCCAACCCTCACCTATGGTCATGAGCTATGGATAATAACAGAAAGACTGAGGTCGCAGATACAAACAGCCAAAATGAGTTTTCTCAGAGATAGGGTAAGGAGCTCGGACATCTGGAGGGAGCTTGGACTAGAGCTGCGGCTCCTCGCGTTGAAAGGGGTCAGTTGAGGTAATTTGGGCATCTGATCAGGATGCCTCCTGGGCGCTTTCCGTTAGAGGTATTCCAGGCACGTCCAACTGGTAGGAAGCCCTGGGGGCAGACCCAGAACACACTGGAGGGATTACATATCTCATCTGGCCAGGGAACGCCTTGGCATCTCCCAGGAGGAGCTGGAAAGCGTTGCTGGGGAGAGGGACGTCTGGAATACTTAGCTCAGCCCGCTGCCTCTGTGACCCGGCTTCGAATAATGGATGTGGGGACTAGCTTTCAGGCAGAGATTCCAGTTAGGCTACATTCAAAACATGACAGGTGTTGTAGCAAAAACACCAGTGCTCCCATTCACTTGAATGTGGGTGGTGTGTTTGTGCTGATGTGATGGGGCCACAGGGGATGCCCGCAGCATTAAGTTGAAACTTGAAATGCAACCCCATGTCACACTGCAGTGGCCAATTATGTAACCAGCAATCAGACCAAAAGACACCAGCAGTCCACGGGAATATGTAATACAATCTCTTTCTATCGTTAAATATTATAGTGAGTAAAAGAAATAACGAGGTACTCATTAACGGCTGGGGTTTACTATCATACAAAGGAGTGTACTTGCTTTTTTTTGAGTGTGTCAGTTGAGACAGTAAAGATACTACAGTAATGATAATCAAATGGAATCCTACAGATCTTTTGAGACAACATAAATAAACTTACTCAATCGCTAAGATGTGGTGATTGGCTTTTTTTTTTGTTGGTCTCCAACCTCCACTCCCTGACAAGTGGGCCATTTAAGTGACACTCCCACATGGCTGCACAACCCTGCAGCTAATCACCGCTATGTCTGATTTGGTGTGAATGCAGCCTTATTTTTCCACGGCCCCGAAATAGTCTGGCAGTGTGCAGTGTCTGTGCCAGACTCTGATCAATATGACAAGTTCTAATACAGCTGCACCATATGAGCTGGTTTATTCATTTAAGTGTCCTTAAGATGATAAGGTTTTAAATTTCATATTTTTCTGGTCATTTTTAATATGCTATATAAATAAACTTGATTTGATATTCTGGAGCTTCAAACCATGCCACACTGCTCAGTGATCAATTGGCTAAACTTTCCATCAGTCTGAACACTTAAAGGACACATAAAAGCCGTCTATATTGGTTTGAAAGTTGAGCCTGACGGGCTTGTGTGGTTTAACGTAACAATATGTAAGGCAGTGTAAGAGCACTGCTTTTATGTGTTTTTGTGTATTTTTGGGGCAGTAATGGAGGTCTATGGCACATAAGCTGAATCAAGGCAGTGACCCAACAGATATGTTAAAACTTCAATGTTGGTTTTGGTCTTCTCATGAAATTTGTTTACAACAGTGAACCAGCATTATCCTTTAAGATATAGTGTGTCTGCATTGTGATCAGAAAGAAGTCATGCGGCTCAAGACTTTGAGAGTTAGTATCTCCACACTTCATCTATACCTATACACACACATGCGCGGGGTTGATGCCTTTGATAACGTGGGGTCATTGGTTTTAGGAAGTGTGTACTACCATGTTTGCGTGTCACACAGTGTGTGAGTGTGCACACTCAATAAAAATATCTGTGTCTTGTGATCAGGGGATGATACTGGTAAAACATACATTGTGAGGTCTCATGAGTGGTGGTGTAGCTTTCGTTAAGACTTCCAGCAGTGATTTACATCTCTTCCCCTTTAGCTACCAGCGACCTTTCCTTTGACCTGCTGGATCCCACTGAAGGAAAAACAGCATTGAAGTGAATGAGGCTTAAACACTGTGCAAAGTATCTGGGCCTAACACACCAAATCACAATGTTTGTTCACAATACCTTCCAAGTAGAAAACCCCTGTGACATGAAACGCTACCTTATATGGTCAGTTTTTAGCCACCTGAAAAAGGACCTCCTAAAAAAAATCAATATCAGTTTACGTGAGTGCTATATTTAGATTTTTTTCTCAGCTTTACCTTGCCGTCAGACAGCCCTTTCAGACCCACAGAGAACTGAAGTTGTTATCTCAAAGCCACCAGACTCCACTGACAAAAACAGTAATGTTTCTTTGCACAACATAGGAGTTGCTGGCCTCATCCTGTTATTAAAATGATCCAACTAATTAATTCAGTACCAGTTTATATAGCCTACTTCCAAACCCTGCTAAAACTGCATTATCACTTGGCAGAACTCAAAACACACACAGTGAAGCTGGCAGCAACCACACACTGCCAAGAGTTTGTGACACATCGGCTGTTAGAGTCTGTTAATTAGTGATAAGACCAATCAAAGATGCTTTGTACATATAGACCCAGTTATGACACAGACAGCCAGGTTCCACGCTGCACTCACTGAGTTATTTTCCTCCAAAAGTCACATGACCTTTTGGGTAAACTGGTCTAGCCCGCGCTGTCAGCAAACAGCATCCAACATCTGGAGTATGTCTCACAGCTTCAGCGGCAGCTTCACTGCTGTTTGGCTTGCAGGGAATGCAGGGAGTGTTTATTTTCTGTGGCCGGTAGCACCACACGGAGAGGGATTTTCTCTGCTGCCCAGCAGAGAGATTAATTGAAAAAAGAGAAAACATTGGGGAGGGAGGAGAGGGAGGGAACTGGTGAGGAAGAGGAAGGAAGCGCTGGCCTATATAAAGAAAGAGAGTGGAGCAAGAGCAGAGAGGAGTGGTTTGTGAGAACGTTTTAGGTGACCAACAGAGCCTGAACTGTGAGTATGACAGAGCAGTAAACTGGAAACTACAACAGCTGAGGTGACTTTGTTAAATAGAAATGTTTACACATTTTAATTTGTTTTTTTATGAACAGTATCTCAAGAAAGGTAAGTTATCCAGCGACTGAATGTATGCAGAAGTCCGTCTTTTTTGGGAAGAGGACTGAACTAACGTCTGGGAAACAAGCAGCATATTTTGTGCAGATGTTTCCCACTCATGTCTAGCTTGTGCATCTGTAAGATTTTCCATTCAAGTGCTTTTAATGAGTCATGCAGGTCAGGATCTTTTTATACAAAAATGTCATTGCTTTAAAGATGCAGAGCAGTCAACACGTAGCCATCTTAAATTCTATCACAATTACTAGATATTCTTTCCTTTTCTTTGCAGGTGCAGTGACAGGAGCCACCTGTGTGTGTATGTGTGTGTGTGTGCATTTGTATTCCCATGCAGGTGAAAATATAGTGTTTGTAAATCATCTGCTTGTGTGTGAGTGTGTGTGTGTGTTGGAACATGCCGGGGTTTGTGAGCAGCTCAAAGGTGCGACGCGGCCTCACCTTTGCTACGGGTCTGGTGGAGTGTCTGTGTTTTGCTGGAGCTGTGTTCGGATGGGCCTCGCTTGTTTTTGTCCTGAAGAAGGAGGACTACTTCAGCTCTCTGTGTGTCAACACCACAGTCAATGCAACACAGGTCTTAGGTCAGTTTGATATCCTCAGCTACACTTTGAATTCACCTGGATTGCTAAAATTAGTCACAACTCTTTTTGCAGGCATCCACCTACATATTTCACAACCTTACTTCTCTCTTCCTTTGTGTTTTATGTGTCTACAGATTGCAGCGGACAGGATGAGCAGTTCTCCCTTGTTTTCACCATCGCCTCGTTTATGAACAACTTCCTGACGCTGCCCAGTGGTTTCCTCTTTGACCGGTTTGGTACCACAGTGGCTCGGCTCTTTGGAATGTGAGTCCAACAACACCTTAATTACTCCTAAGTTAAAAAGGATTTCCTTTCTTATTTATTCTTATTTATAAGAAAGGAAGGACTAAAAAGCCCACTGAGGATTGTCATGACAAGCACTGAATAGAAGAGAACAACAACAAGAGGTTGTTGATCAGTGTGTTTTTTTTCCCAAATGATGTACAGATTTTTAGGCATTGTTATCTCAAATGGGTCAGACAATAGAGCTGCAGTAAATGGGGAAATAAATCTCCCTTGGAGAGCATGTTCCCAGATACCGTTAGGTTTGGTCTGAACCCTGAATGTTTGCAACGTCTGGCTCCGCCTCTGTTTTTATCTAATCTCAACACTCATGTTTCCCAACATGTGGCTTGTAACGTAGCAGTTAACAACCCACCTCTTCTGCTTGTAGCTGGACACAGGTGGACATACTGTAGCTGTGTGTGTTCATGCATGCACATATGTACACAAACACATGCCTGTGGTTTGTGGAGTATCTTCTTTTGTGGTACGCCACTATGCGTAGTACAATGAGTGCTGCCTCCACATGTAAAATTAAACACATGAGCTTGAACATGTATCATATTTGGGGGGTCTAATTTTAGTCCTTTGTAGATTGGGATGACATGTCCCCTGTTACCCCGTGGCAATTATGCACATGGTGAAAGTAAGGAGGAGCTGCTGGAAGTGTTTGTGACCAGAGCTCCACTGCAGATAATGAGAGGGTGTCGTGGAGGGAGTACAGGAAGGAGCTTAGTGTTGAGATTTCCGACTGGGCTGAAGTGTGGCAGTCCCCAGACTTTTATTTTTTTTAAATTCTTCGAGCATGTTTAAGTAGCACTGCAGAGCAGAAGAAATCTAAGTCTTTGTGTCTCTAAGCTGCGCAGACAAGAGACAGAATTTAGCATTTGGATGAACAAAAAGCACAGTGTTACATTTATTTATTCTAAATCAGTTCTTCTCAGACTTTTGTATGTTTTTACACTTCTTGCTCTGACGTATGACACTGATTTTGAAAAGGTTACCACATAATAACTCATGTATCTGTAAAATGAAAACTAAATAAACCTAAAAAGCAAAAGAGTTTTTTTAGTAGATCGACTTTGCATTGAGTTTTCATACCAAAAACAACAAAAGTGCAATAAATTTTTTTTAAATAATGACTGTTTCTTTGCCAAACTATCCAGTTTTTGACGCAGCCATAAAACTAAACATAACAGTGTCTTTGCATCTTGCTACTTTCACTACACCTATCATTTTAACTAAAGACAGAGGGGCCTCTATCCTCTTCTTCACCCTGCATGACTCTAACTCCCTCTGCCTGTGGTAGCAAAGCTAACGCTACAGTGCATAGAGGCAGTTTGATATAATTTCAGTCTGTCTCTGGTATTTCCCTCCCCTCTTGTGTGGTAAAAGGGACAGGTAGGACAGCTCGAAGCAAGAGCGCAGACAGAGTTCAGAGTAGCTCCCTTAAGGAATTTTACGTAAAGTATTTGAGGTCTCCAGACAGCAGCAGACACATGAATGGAGATGCTGTGCACACACCAAGGCTGGACACTTAGCAATGCAGAATGTGGGGAAAATGTTTTATGAGTAAGGGAGCAGTAAAGCAAACAAAGCATTAAATTGTGCTGGAACTGAAAAGAAATGAAGTGAGAGAATGATTAAGAAATAGAGAGGTCAGGATCATATATCAGCAGAGGATGGAGGAATGTCTGAAGCCCTCCCTACTGCCTATCTAAATCCACAGCAACGAACTGGTACAAAGGACATATGTTTCCACTAAAAGAGGGTGGAGAGAAAATAAAAGGCCAAGGAATGCAAATAGTTGGACAAGACACAGCAAGTGGAGTTGAGGGTAGATGTGTTTTGCTTATCAAGTGCCAAGAAAAGGAAGTTGGTGTTCACCAAACAGCAGCAGTCGTACCTGGTTACTGTAAAGCTCACTGAGCCAATAAAATGACATGAAATCACTGCCAATTCTTTTTCCCACCAGATGTCTTTACACCCTGGGTTCTTTGCTGGTGGCCTTCTCGAGTGCAGGTGAAAAACATTTCTCATGTCTCATTGTTTTGTGCTCTCGTAGTCCAAAAAGAAGACAAAAAATGTTACAGCAGACTCTCACTGCTGTGGGTGCTCATTTTCCCCGTTTTTTTCTTTTCCCTTTAGCTTTGTCAAACATGCTCTTCCCTGCTCTCTCCTTCCTGGCAGTGGGCGGCATCCTGTTTCTAATGACCAACATGCAGGTACCGAAGCAGTCGTTCAGATTATTATAAATTTTGATGCATCTCAATTAAAGGTCCAGTGTGTAGGACTAAGGGGCATCAGTTGGCAGAAATGGTTTATAATATTCACAGCTACTCTTTCATGATTTTATATAATCACCTGAATCGTTTCGTATTTGTTACCTTACAATGAGATGTTTATATCTACATATGGAGCGGGTCCTCTTCGACGGAGTCTGCCATGTTGTTCTACAATAGCCCAGAATTATAATAATAATAATAATTAATGTCTTATTTTCTATTTAATTCATTACTTTATAAAAATTGTGAAAACTGACCATCACAGTTTCTCAGCCTTTAACTTGACATATTCAAATAGTAAATATTTTTTTATTGTTTTTAATTATTGTTTGAAGTAGAGATGGAATAGGGCAGCACAGTGGTGCAAGTCTTGCACACTGTCGCCTCAGGGTTTGAATCCGCACGCCAGCTAGGGCCCCTCTGTATGGAATTTGCATGTTCTCCCTGTGTCAGCATGGGTTTTCTCTGGGTTCTCTGGCTTCCTCCCACAGTCCAAAGACATGTAGGTTAGGTTAATTGGGGATTCTTCATTGGTTGTCTGTCTCTTGTCCAGTGTCAGCTTGGATCGGCTCCAGTCCTCCTGTGACCCTGAGTAGGATGAGCGGTTACGGATAATGAATGAATGAGACTGAAGAATTCTGACAGTGTTCGGGAAAGGGAGGGTTGAGGCGTGTTGTGTTCCAACTATGCTGACACAGTGATAAAAGAGTTGATTTGTAGTCTGAAAGGTTAGAGGAGGCATTCATGACTTCAGTAACTTAATTGAGTGATTTATTTGTATTTTGCAAGAATAATAATATATCATCTGTGAAGAAACTGATTTTGTGTGTTATGTTGTTTGTTGTGATGCCTATGATGCTGTTATTTTGACGTAGTGTTGCAGTTATGAAATAACTGGTTTAATTTGAATTGTTTAAGAATAACTACACCCCCAAACCACTTTTTTTTTAAAACTGAAAACCAATAGACCAATGTATTTGGGTATTTAGTACTGTTACTGAGCGAGTCAGGTCCAAATCTTGACATTTGTGCAAAGTATTTGGATTCTACATATGGTATTAGATATATATGCATAGTGCCAGCTCAGTGGCCTAGTGGTAGAGTGTCCGCCCTGAGACTGGGAGGTCGTGGGTTCAATCCCCGGCCGGGTCATACCAAAGACTATAAAAATGGGACTCATTGCCTCCCTGCTTGGCACTCAGCATCAGGGGTTGGAATTGGGGGGTTAGATCACCACATGATTCCCGAGCGCGGCACCGCTGCTGCTGCTCACCGCTCCCTCAGGGGATGGGTCAAATGCGGAGAACAAATTTCACACATTCAGGTGACTGACAATCAGTGGAACTTTACTTTACCTTCCCAATAATGGTTGAAACTAGGTTACTGCAATTGAATTCTCCTACTGGCTGATCTGTAGCAGGTGTCGTACAGTATTTGATGGCAGTTTAAGTCACCAGCCAACCTTAGCTTAAGATTCAAATAATGAGATAAACATATGTAAAAAATAATCCCTGTGAGCAAAATCCTCAGGCTTCAGACTGGTCTGAATACTCTGTGTCCAATGTTTTTTCTTCCTTGGCTATGAGCTGACATCAGCATGTGACAGATTCCTTTACATGGTCGTCTGCTCCAAGTGCAAGTGTTGACAGTATGTAGCCTACTCTGCTACATGAAGCTTCATATAAACATTGGGATACATGCAATGTTGGTTGCTGTTGTTTATTTCTCCCTGATTTTGGTTTGGATTCCTGCTGGAGCATGTCCAGTTGTGAAGATTTTAGTTAAGAAGCATTTATTGAGTTTTCACAGGCGTGAAGCAGGAAGAAACAGGGTGAATGAGGGTGTTTAAGCACAGACAGTATAAGGAAAAGGTATTTCATGAACATTAACGTATATAAACGTATGTATGTGGGGGGGGGGGGGCAAAGCCCTCTCAGGGAATGTTTCAAAACCACATCCTCATGTTCAAATGTTCAAACAGGCATTTCAACTCAGCAAGAGCAAATTGTACGTTAAATGACAGAAAAATAAAAGGCAAACAAAGGAAAGAAAGCCCCACAGACATATCAACAAATGCAATATCTGTTTTAATAAATTCAAATTTCTCCCCTGAAGGTCGGAAACCTGTTCGGCTCACGTCGCTCCACCATCATCACTCTCTACAATGGCGCCTTCGACTCCTCATCGGCACTCTTCCTTGTCATCAAGGTGAGAAACATTCATACATTGTTCTCATAAATAAAGTATATTTATACCAGCTCATGTTGTCTTGATGTCTACTCCTGCAGCTGCTACATGAGGCTGGCGTCGCTCTCCGCTCTTCCTTCCTCTTCCTGTCCGTCTGTAGCTTCATTCACCTGCTCAGGACTTTCTTCCTGCTGCCTAGAGACCACATTCCCTACCCGCTGCCTGATGACTACACATACGGGTACATATCCACAACAAACCACACACATCATCAACAACTTACACAAGTTTAAGGGATACATCAAGTGACAAAAAAAACCGAGAACATTGAAATAAAAAAAGAGAAAAAAACAATAGTGCAAAATACAAGTAAAAATTAGGTTTTTAAAATGCCATTTTAATGCAGCTGCAGACTTGGCATACTTGAGCTTTTTACTAGAAATGTTTGCAGTTTACAGAGCTCATTGTACTCTTACAGCAAGAAAAACTGGCCTGTTCTCATTCCCAGAGCCTCAAATACCAGGGCTTTGTCATGCCCCCCACGCACCGTGCTTTCAACAAAATCCAATGTAAACCCATCCACGGCAGTAGTTGACACTGAGACCAACTGACACAGTAAAAAGAGTGAGAAAATCTGTGTAGGACAGGAGGGAGGGGAGATAGAGGGGTCAAGCAAAACCTGACCTTTGTCCAGGAGTCCACAGTTTGTCATGTGTGAAATGACGTCAGTGTTGTTAAAACACCAAATTGGCCCACAGACATCAGTCTAAAACAATGGTCTAAAAATAATGTTAAAAATATAATAAAAGACAAGGGAGGTTAAAAGTCTGATGAAAAATCAAGGGGCTAAGAATAATAAAAATGGTGGGCTTCTTTTCCAGACGCAGGACCTCCACCTGCTTGGTACAGGTTCAGCTGTCGTTGGAGGTTACCCACAGGCTCTAGGCCGGAAGTCAAAGTAAAAGTCCTTCACAATAAAAACATGCAATAAAAACCTATAAAAACATAGCAAACAATGTAGAATAAAAGCATAACTTAAATAAAACTAGTAGTAAAAAAGTAAAAAAAGATAAAACATACAATATAAAAACCCTACAACAGACTTCCGCCTTGTGACATATTTACGTCACATTGCGTTGTGTAACAAAAGTCTGTTTTTAAATCCAAAGTGTGATCCTTTTTTAAAACCGAACAGTGACTGTTGCACTATATTAACCAGTTGTTAGAATGTGTTTCAGCTTGGCGTCACATAGAAATGCTAAAGGGCTATGAAATGCAGTTTTGGGTGTGGATGTAAAGTCTGAGTCAAAAAAAACAGTTCAAAGGGCAGGTCCATCTGTGGTCACTGCTGAAACTCCTGCACAGCTGTCAGCAAAAAGCAGTGACACAGATTACAGTGCTGATGCTCTCCCCTCCCTTTTATTGCTGTGGACGCCACACTCATTTGGTTCCAAAAGTCACACAATAACACCCAAAGTGACCAATCAGAGGCAGTGGCAGTATATATATATATATTTTACAAGGTAGAATTACTGCTTCTGTCAAATGAGTTTGGTGCCTGTAGATTGGGGCAGCCACATAAAATAGGACTACTTAAAATCTAAACTGTGATTTTACCACACAGCGCACAAGAGATGCTGGACTACCGCTGCCTACATTGTTTACTCTGTTCAGCCCAAATGCAGGGACTTGGACACGGTGCACTCCTACAGCAGAGCATGTCCATTATTCAATCAGGAGAGACTCATTCTTAGAGAAAAGAATATTTATTTACATGTGCACATAAGATAAGAAATGTGAAAAGTCTTTGGAGATTAGACCCCAGGAGAATGGTAAAGACGTAGTAGATTAGGGAACCCCTCCTGTGGAGTCCAGATGCTAGTGGTGGTAATGGTGGTTATGAGATGGGATGAAGAGGGAGCTGAGGATCTGGATGTGAAGAGGAGTGGGCTTTTTGATGAGCTTGTCTTGGGCTCTGGATAAGGTGACTAGAGATGAATGAGGTGGAGGAGAGTGCGATGATTCCGCCTGAAATGGCAGCTGACAGGAGCAGAGAGCAGAACAGATTTAAAGTTTGGCTGAAGGAGATCGTGGCAAAGTTTGACAGGCTGACTGGGAGAGGGAATGCACATAATCAGCTAATTGGGGGAAGCAGTGGGAGTGGGATAGAGAGACAATTGTGAAAGGATATAGCGCAAAGAAAGTCTCCCTGACTGAACATAGGTTGAGCTTCATCTGTGTGACTTTTTTAATCAAAAAAGGTTTAGGTTTTAGAAGTGCCTGTGAAATAGCATTTTAACCTAAAACATATATATTTAAACCATTGAAATTTTGGATTTAAATACATAAGGAACACTACAATACAAAAACCTAAAAAATAATAAATAATTCATCATACCTTGTACATTTGCTTATCTATCTTTTGAATACAAGGCAACCACATGGAAACTCTCACCTGCACATGTACATTTCCTGTCCTCCTCAACTGCCTGTTTACACATACTCCCATGAAAAAAAATAATTCAAGTTTCAATCATAAGAAAGTGTTTGCTCAACCAAAAAACCTTCAAATATTAATTGTGTATTAACATACACCGTGAAATCGTTATATTTTCTAATACGGTTATTGTACTGTAAAAATCTCACATCACTGCAACCCTTTAAACAAATCTGCATATTTTCCTGTGAAAATTGGTAAAAGGAAGAAAAAGAAGATGAAAACACTGAGCTCTCCTCATTCAGTAATGATAAATACATCCAGCTGCAAATTTTGAAAGACAAACAACCAGTTGATGAATTGAAGTTTCTTGTGTAAACAGGATTTTCTGAGTCTTACCTGCACAGTTTATGTTCTCATCATCCACCCACATTCCTCAGAAATTCCCTTCATATCCTGCTGTGTTATTATAGGAAGTTAAGTAAATAGTTATCAAAGAACTCCCACAATGCCCTCAGTCTGTCGCTAACCCACTGTGACTTTTGACCTTTGTCAGGATAACCTGCGGTAAATCAAGGAGTCTGAGCTTAGAGCAGACAGCAGCCAATAGTAACACACTGAAGATAACGGAGGAAACACCCCTCAGGGATGTCACTGTGAAACAAGGTTTGGGAACTTAACTGTGCCATAGATTAATACATAGACCAAACAAAAGAGTTATCATACATCGTGTTTGTTCATTCATTTATGTCTGTGGTGTCCCCTCGTCTCTCAGAGAAGAGTTTCCGTGAGTGTTTGATGTCCAGGTTCTTTGCGTGGCACCTGCTCTGGTTGTCTGTAATGCAGCTCAGACATTACCTCTTCATCGGCACCCTCAACCCGATGCTGCAGCGGCTGACGGAGGGAGAGCCCTCACTGGGTAAACACACACATACATCATGTTACTGTCTATGCAAAGGTGGGAGTATTATAAGTGCAAGAAGCTCCTGAATAGAGAGTACTTTTATCTCATAATTTGGCTGACTAGTTAAAGTGTTTAGTCTGTGACCATCTTGTCTTTGCTTGTGTGTCCCTGCAGTGAGCCAGTACACCAATGCCTTTGCTATAACGCAGCTGTGTGGCGTGCTGTGTGCTCCCTGGAACGGCCTCATCATGGACAGACACAAGGGCAAACCTCGTGCTGAAGGTAACAAACAGTACTAATGAGGGCAAGTAATGAACCCAACAGGCTGCAGTCATGGAGGACCTACTGTCAGTGTGTCTCTTTGTTCTCGGGGCCTCGGGGTCAGTGGGCTCATGCATATCTAAAGAGACAATAAATATTAACTAAAAAAGTCCAATCACTAACTGTACAAAAGCACTGAACACCAACTACATGTTCCTTTAAATATTTAGTTAATTGAAACATAATTGTTTAAAAGAAACATAATACTTAAAACTACTTATTTCCAGATGTGCTTTTTGCCATCATTTTCTCTTTTCATTTGTGTGTGTGTGTGTTTGTAGGAGAGAGCGAACAGGAAGCAGACCTGCGGGCCTCAGTGCTTTCTCTCTTCCTGACGACGCTGCAGTGTGTGTTGTTCTCAGTGTGTGCCTCCACCCCGTACCTGCCGCTTCAGTACCTCACCTTCATCCTGCAGGTTATCAACCGCTCCTTCCTCTACGGCGGAAATGCAGCCTTCATCAGTGTGGCGTGAGTATCAAACACACACACGAATACACACATGTACACATCTCTTTGTTGACTACACTTAAGTATTCTCATATCTGCTCATAGCAACATTACAGTGTGTTATGAATTATATGTTTACACACTGTGGGGTTACAGTGAAGTGTTACTTTTAGTTTTGAGGAATGTTTTAAAGGCTTAAAAATGCTGATTTCCTGTTTTCTACATTCTATGTCTTCCTTCTCTTTGCCATGTCATCACTTTGTGTGTGTGTAGCTTCCCGTCGTGCCACTTTGGGAAACTGTATGGTCTGGTCATGGCTCTGTCTGCAGTGTTTTCTCTGCTGCAGTATCCCTGCTTTGCCCTGGTGAAAGGCCCTCTGGAGGGAGACCCCTTATACGTGAGTGCAGAGTTGTCATTTACACTTTTTGAGATGGCCCATCCCCATCCCTTTAATAAAAGCACAATTTGTTAAAAACCTTCTGAAAAATTGTTGCACCAAGAAATGTTTAGTAACAAATGATAACGCTTTGAGAATGTTCGCACAGTAAAAAAAAATACAATGCAATGTAAATATAGAAGAAACAGATAGGCATTGTCCAAAAAAATCCCAGCAAAAACCCCTAGCATACTGATTCTAAAACAGATTCGTCATGAGTTTTTATTCTCTCTATTAAATCATGACAACACATACGAGCTAATGAAGTCCACCAGATTGTAAATTAAAATGAGCACCTATTCTCATAGGTGCCACATGCACATTTAAATAGACTGCACGGAAACATGTATATTACTTTTCTAGTCTTCCGGCCACTCACAGCGCTTTTACATTATATGTCTCATTCACTTATTCATACACACAGTCACACACCAGTGGCAGAGGCTACCAGTCATGGTGCCACCTGCTACTCCATTACATGCACTCACTCACACACTGATAGAACAGCAATGTGAGCAATTTGGGGTTCAGTATCTTGCCCAAGGATACTTTGACATGCGGACTAGAGGAGCTAGTGATTGGTGGACGACTAGCTCTACCTCTGAATCAGTAAATGAAAAGTAAATCATGCTGACATGTGAGCAGCAGAGATAACAGTAAATAAGAAATGCTGATCTACTTGAGAATAAATATTTAAAAGCAATACAGAATGCATAAGAGACTTACTGCATTATAATTTACTATTGTTTTATATTTGGAATCGTCACATGGCACATGAATTGTGTGTTTTCCTTTACATAAATAAAGTCATTTCAACATTAAAATGATGCATAAAACTTAACCCCCGCTATACATGTGTTCCCCCTCAATGTGATAATGAAACCTACATCCTTGATAGTGGCCTAGGCTGTCACCTTTTATGCACCATTATGCATTTTTTCCCCTGATCTGCTGTGAATATCTACGGCTATCTATCTCTCACTGTTTCCTCCTCTCTCCTTTCTGCAGGTGAACGTTGGTCTGACGCTGCTCAGCCTGCTCGCCTTCATCCATCCCATTTCTGTCTACCTGCACTGTCGAAGACTCGCATCCCAGCGAGCCATCAATGCCTCCTCTTAAAGTCTCATGTCATGTGAGACTCACTTAAAAATGCCCTTAATATTACTTAATGACACTATTACCTCTTTGGCTTGTTTGATTGATTAATTGTGCTTGTGTGGCTGTGTTGTGTTGTTATATGTATCATCACATGCTTGTAAAGGCATTTCAGGTTGCAGTGAAGTGTGGTTTTGTGTACAATCTCGGTGCATTTGCCACATTCTCAGATCATGTTCACAGCCAAACTGAATGTATTCATACTTATTAAGAGCTTCTGGTTTACCTCTTGTAAGATTTCCAGGATATATCATTTTACTTTCACTTTTAGATCTTTTTTTTTTACACTCTTTTACAGTTTGAGTGTGTCACCTGATGGTGCTGATGAGCTTTTTGGAAACAAATCCTCAACAGCTAACAGCTTTGTCTGTTTTTACAGTTAAAATTCCTTGTGCTTGCTGCTTCTGATTACTGAGACATGTTTTATGTTTCTTTTTTCATGTAAGCTCATATTTTAATTTTAATTCTGGACATTTTTTTTTAAATATATTCTGTGTCATACTAGCCATCTATCACATCATGTTTACGGTGGTTTCACAGTACCAAAAGATAACAAACTGTATTGTCAAAGCTGAAAAATTGTGTCATGTATTATGACATTTTGTCAGTATTCATTAGTATTTTTCTCTAACTGTATGTTTTTGTCTACCTTGAAAATAGAGCATGGGATCAAGGATGTGTGGAAGGAAAAAGCTGAATGTAGTCATAGTGTAAGGGACGATTGGGGCTCAGAATCACAAATGTCAGTTTGTGTTGTTTTAATGGATCAATCAGTGAGTGATAACCCAGGCAGCCTGTCTGTCGGGACAAAGGTCCTGTTTGCTTGCTAACATGGCACTGATGTCTCTGCACTGACTGCATGTGAGTTCACTCAGATACATCAAATAGAGCAGGCGACACAGCTCTGCCATCTGCTGGCCTCTCAGTGTAGCTCTGAGCTACTGATGTCACTGTTGAGCCAAACATAAACAAGCAGGAGACTGAGCTCCTTTTATGTTTCGTTGTTTCTGACATATGAAGTCTCAGGTGTTCAGTGTGTCTGTGTAGTTCAGTAGGATTCTGTTTTCCATTAAAAAAGCGAAATATGTTTCTGTTTACCAGTAAGTTTTATGTTTTCAGGTCGACTATACATTTTGCTGAAGTGCCACGCCTGAAGTGGTGGTAATGTTGTTCAAATGTAATTTTAAATATGCAAATTTGTCGTCGTGCTGCAATTAAATTTATCTTTTGATATGAACTTTAGTATTATAGTAAAGGGAACTATTATTTTTTACTCTTTATTCTTGAACAAATAAATATTTTATTTTTTTTTAACTATTGTGAGAAACATGGTGCACTTGCAGGGAACTGCCCACTTCAGATAGTGTCGGAAATTATTAATAATGACATGCAAATATCAAACCAATAAATTTTGAAGGCTAAACCATGAATTCCTTTTTTGTTCCGAGTGTTCACAGACTCCGTGTTTGCAGTTGATTGACTTTTGACAGATTGGTGTATTTAATTCAGCGTGAGCTGCACAAGGTCTAATTTCCATTAATGCAAAATTTATTGTAAGTTATGTTTGTGGTCATTAAAGGATCCGAAAGTCATTTTCATCAAGTTATTATTACTTAAATTTTATGTCCACTACATTTTAAAGCAGAAACATTTTTGCGTTCACTCGCAGAAGATCCAAAATCAAGTTACAAACCCAAAAAATATATATAGATTGAGGTCTTTCATCACCAAAAGTGACATTTAAAGGGACACTCAGATTTTTACAAACCAAGATCAGTGAACTCCCCATTAGCAGGAGAACTGTGAATCAGCTCAATGTCTTTTGTGGCTCTGAAAGTAGCTCTCTGAAGTCGGAAAAATTAACTAATAACCAATATCACAAACTCTTCTTGTGGCATATTAAATTTACAGGCATGTACCAGACAGAGAGGCTCCATCAAAAGATGTTACTGAGTTGCATTATGGGAAATTTTGGAACTAAAATCAGGATATCTCTGCCTCTGCTGCACAGAATCTTACCTGTCTGTCTCTAGGACGTCCCCCAATGCTGTGGAAGTTCAGTGCAAAACAATCCTTCGAAAACACATTTTCGAAGTTTCCGTTCTTACTGCTTTAAAAATCGTCCTGTGAATGAGGAGTTATCGTGAATGATGCAGTTTGATTAAAAAAAGAGACTGTTTTTGTGATGATAGCAGCTTACTGGAGCTCTACATCCCTAAACTAAATGAAACGACATGCATTAGCCCAAACATCATCAAGGGATTTAACATGGGCTGACCTCAAAGTCTGTCTAGAGGTCAGTGCTACTGCATAAGTTGCCTCACTTGATGTCAACCTGCAGGACTCACAGCAGCCTCAGGGGACAGTCTGTTATCTCCTGTTCATACTACTCAGTCTGGGTAGGAGTTGCCATGTTGTTCCTGACAGTGGTGCAGAGGTTTCACACAAGGCAGATTCATCTCTGGGAGGGTTTAACCTGAAATAGCAGGAACACAACAACCTGTACAACAGCCTGTGTGATGCATGCACGTGCCACAGCGGTTAATGAAAAGAACTTAATGGTCTAGTGTGTAGGATTTAGTGGCATCTAGTGGTGAGGTTGCAAATTGCTTCATCATATAATAATCGAGCAACAATCTTAGTTTCCACAGACAGTGATGCATTTCTTTTTTAGGGAACACCACTGTGAAGACAGCAACAAAACCCGTCGTATCACTGCCTCACAGCTCTCACTCCCCCACCCAGGCTGTAGTAGAGAGGATCCTCCACCGCTGGGGGTGATGAACCGCTCACAAGTAGCCTTTAAACATATAAGCCCCAGCCTGGCGCAGATGGGTCTGTGAATAACAGCTAGTGATAAACCACTGATCCTAGAGCAATCCCCTTTGTTGCACTGGCCGAATTCATTCACCAGTAAGGGGCTCTGTGAAGCCTCCACAAACCACCATATTGGTCTGTTGGGAGCCCTGTGGACAAAACCTCAAGCTCAGCAGGCACCTTTAACACATTACAGTAACATATCACATTTTAGCAGTAACAAAGTAATATAACGCGTTGCCAATAGAATACTGGGTAACATTATTACATTTACAGTGTCATGTAATGCATTACGACCCAAAATAAACTTTTTAGTAGTAGTAGTCTTTATTTGTCCCCGTAGGGAAATTGGGTTGCAGCAGGTCACACAAGGCATTTCAGAAATATATAAATAAATAACAATACATCAAACGGTGACCAAACATTCATCACACATTGAGCACAGTAGTCACATCTCATGTACAGATATAGGAGGAGGAGAAATAGTTTTTAAGCTTCTGCAGACCAGCTGAGAGGCTTAGGTCAAGAACTGTGCTGGCTGTTAAGGAGTTTAATAGCCTGAGGCACAAAGGAGAATTTTGCTCTGTTTTTTGTAAACAGAGGGAGGCAGTATCGTCGCCCTGAAGGAAGCAAATCAAACATGTGGGCCAGGGGGTGCCTTAGGTCGCCAGTAATGTTCCTTGCCTAGTTTTTTTATTCACTCACATCACTCCACTTCTGCCAGTGTGTTACCAGAAAAAACATCCTTCCCCAAAGGTTATAGTGACTTGTCATGTCACTACAGACTACATCATAGAAGGATGCTGGTGATCGGCACATCTGCGTCATGCTGCACTGTGTGTTATCATGTTCATACAGTGTGTATTTCCATTAACATAACAACGTACAACATAAGCGTTTCTAGCCCATTTATGGAAATTGAATCCCAGCACCCCTAAAATTTGAGAGATTTTTTTTAATCATTTTTTTAACTGTATGTCCTTGCAAAAATACAGTCCCACCCCCACCCCCCCCCCACCCCACCCCCCCATTTTTGCTGCATTTAATCGTAGGTCACTGTTTATGTTGTTAGGTAGGAGTTAGCTGATGTTTTTTCTAGCTAGGAAATGTTACAGGTGGTCAGTACCACTGTCCTCTGTTTGAATTGGAATGAGAGAAGCTAGCTGTTGTGTCATGTGCATGTGTTAATATTAAAGCCAAGGTGCTACTGACTTGCTTTTGCTTTTTCCTCCGGTGCTGCTGTAGCGAACAGACGCACTGGGAACCGGCAGGTGGTTCTTCCAGCCCTGGTGTTTTCATTGGCGTTCATCATAGCAACTGACTCGCAAGCCATTTTGCTTAACTCAACATGTTTATCGAGTTTCATATCTAGGCCCACAAATATTGATCCATATCTCATAATTATCAGACTCTGATCCTCTGTCTGCCCCTCCCTGTGTCCAAGACTTTGTTAAATCAAAAAAGTTAATGTTATTTCATTGTTCTTTATCATTTTTTTCATTTTAACATGAAGTGGTAACCACTGTATGTGAATGCATGAATGGGTCAGACCCATGCAGCATTGGATTTGAAATAAACGGTAATAAACTGGATCTTCTGTGCTTTGATTACCTGCTGTGAAACAACATGACCCTCATCCATTTAAAATATTCATTCCTCTGAGGTGATTTTGGTGAAAGCAATGCAAAAGTAGTGTATTAAGTAACTTACTACTAGGAGCGACAGGAAAGAGCACAAAATCGGGAAGTGGAAGAAGGCCCCCAATTTCCTCACCGCACTTTCCTTGTGAAAGTCACACAACCTTTTGGCTAAAACAGTGTAGCCTGCATTCTCAGCATCCCCATCTGGAGTATGAGTCACAGCTTCAGTGGCAGCTTCACTGCGGTTTGGCTTGCCAGGCTGGTAGGGAGGGTTAGCCTCTTCAGCTACGAGCACTGCAAGAGGTGAGGGACTTTCTTCGCTGCACAGCAGAGAGATTGATGGAAAAATAAAAAAAAGGGAGGGAGGAGAGGGAGCGAACAGGTGAGGAGGGAGGAGCTGGCCTATATAAGGAAAGAGAATGGAGCAGGAGCAGAGAGGTGTGGCTCGTGAAAACATTTGGGGAGACCAACAGAGGCTGGACTGTGAGTATTACAGTTAAACAACTGCTATTTATTCATTTATTGTATCTTCACAGGAGGTTACTTTGTTTAAAAGTCATGTTTACACATTTCAATTGAAGTTTTATGAAATACCAGTAGGTCAACTTTCTGTCATCCAATTCAGAAGCCAGTCCAATGCAGAAGCTCATCATTTTTTGTAAGCGGACTGAACAAACAGCCTCAACACAAGCAGCATTTTTTGTGCACAGATGTTTTAGTTCATGTTTTGCCTGCTGAACTTTAAGATTTTCCATTTAAGTCCTTTTTGATGTGTGATGCAGGTCAGGTTCCTTTCACATGAAAAGGTAACTGCTTTAAAGGTGCAGGAGGGTCAACATGTAGTCACACACAATAGCAGTTATAATGTTAATGGGCATCCAGTCAGTTAGCTAGTCAGTAGCACCTTGGCTTTAATATTAACACATGCACATGACACAACAGCTAGCTTCTCTCATTCCAATTCAAACAGAGGACAGTGGTACTGACCACCTGTAACGTTTCCTAGCTAGAAAAAACATCAGCTAACTCCTACCTAACAACATAAACAGTGACCTACGATTAAATGCAGCAAAACTACTTACACCACTACTGCATAGCATAGCATACTGTATCACCCACTCTGGAAGGCAGCGCATTGCTCTGTGCAGATAGAGCGCTCAGAAGCCAGTCGGGGAAAGGTGGGAGGGATGGGGTGGATCAAACCATTTTTGAGGCGGGGGGGGGGGTATTTTTGCTGTTAAAATATTATGTTTCAACCAAGTACTGTATGGTTTTAACACTTTTCTAGCTTGTTAAAAAAGGACATACAGTAAAAAAATAAAATAAAAAAAAAATCTCTCAAATTTTAGGGGTGCTGGGATTCAATTTAGGGGTGCCCCCAAAAATGGGCTAGAAACGCCTATGCGTAGTCCTCTATAGATATATCAGGATTACATTTTTCATTCTCATTTCCTTTGATTGGCAGGTGCAGTGACAGGAGCCATCTCTGTGAATTGTCTGCCTGTGTGTGAGTGTGTTTGGGACCATGCCACGATTTGTAAACAGCTTGACTGTGCGACACAGTCTCACCTTTGTTACGGGTCTGTTTGAGTGTCTGGTTTTCACTGGAGCTGTGTTTGGATGGGCTTCACTTGTTTTCGTCCTGAAGGCAGAGGGTTACTTCAGCTCTCTGTGCATCAACACAACCGGAGTCAATTCAACGCATGACTTAGGTCAGTTTTAATTACAACATGATGAATTTTTAGGTCCCTCACCTTTCACCATATATATTTATATTATAGTATAACATTGTTCCTTTTGATTATGGCTGTAAAGTGCATTTTATGCTGATGATACTGTGCTTTATTCATCTGCTTCTACACTGGTAGAGTGTAATCTGTTTGCAGACAGCTTGTAACTCGATCCAGCGCTCACCTCTGGAGCTTGTACTTGTCTTAAATGGAGCTAAGAAAAATAATTGGAATTCTCTGGATGCTCCTATTTAAAGGAAATTGACTTCAATATTTGCACATTGGTTGATTCTGAAATTGACAGGATGTCCTCACAGAAGTAATTCAAGAGACCATTAAAATGAATGCCCTAGCCTCTTTGGACAAGCTCGAAGATTTGTCCATTTAATTTGATGTTGAGATCTGTTAATGTTTGATTGTATTATTATTATTGATATGTTGTAATTGATTATTGATAGTTGGTGTTTTCGTATTGTTTTATTTTAAAACACTGTATGTATGATCTAATTATTTATTGATCTATGATGTTTTCTTCTGTATATTTTATGTAATTTTAGAATTATTGTATGTATGATTTGTAACCAGTCTGTGTGTAATGCTTCATCAGTCTGGATCAAAATATTGATTCAGTGATCACTGATCCAATATTACTGATGCAAAGAGAAAACATTAATACATATTGTCATCTTTGAGATGTGCCCTTATTTTGAAATTCCCATGGCATGACTGTATCAGCATTTCCACCCAGGCACATCTCTTTCTAAACATGCAAACAGTGCTTGCAGCTTAGCGCCACACAACCAATGGCAAGCAGCCAAGAAAAAGACAACGGGGATAATTATTAATACTGTCTCATATCGATCACAGACCCCTGACTTGAATCAAATTGATATCGTATAGTGACAGACTTTGTGATATCAGCATGTATTGTATTGTTGTCCATAGACTCAATATATTATTGCATTGTGATGAAACTTTTGTTTTGTACCCCTGGGAACCAGGGCACCATCGAAAATGAGACCTCAGTCTCAGTGGCTCTCCCCTGACTAAATAAAGGTTAAATAAATAAATACATAAATAACTTAACTTTAATTACTACTCTCTATGCAGCCTTCTCTTGCTTAAACTCTCTGTGCTTAAACACGTAACAGATGAACTTAAGGCCAGAGGCCTAAATGAAGTGTTGTATTTGATTACAACTTTTTATGCAGGTGTCTTTGATCCACATTGGTCAGCTGTTTTATTACAGGTGACAATAATGGTCCTGCATGAAGAGCTGTTTTATTGGTAACAACTCTTTATGCAGGACTCTCTGTTCTTCATTGTCATGTTTGTGTTCTCAGCCCAGGTGTTTTCTCTCTTTTTGTTTTATGTGTCTACAGACTGCAATGGACAGGATGAGCAGTTCTCTCTTGTTTTCACCATCGCCTCTTGTATGTTCACTTTCCTGACGCTGCCCAATGGTTTCCTCTTTGACTGGTTTGGTACCACAGTGACTCGGCTTGTTGGAATGTGAGTCCAACAACACCTTAATTACTCAAGAGTTAAATGTCCATGGATTGAAAATATTACCATTTCTCATCAACACAGTTACTAGGTAGAGGACTGAAAGCCCACCAGCCGAGTAGTTAGAAGGGATAACTTGACGAACATTGTTACATAAGGTAGCTAAGATCTCCAGACAGCAACAGACACATGAATGGAGATGCAGTGTAAATACCAAAGCCTGACACTTACTGTTTATGCCAGGATCCACATTAGAAGCACATCAATTTGCCTCTAGTTTTCCTGGGGTCCTGCACATTGAAATACAGTACAGACTTAGAAATAATTAGACAACTTAAGATATAATAACAATTGGCATGCTAGACATATACCGGAATGAAAGACATGAAAAAGGATGAAGTAGTCATTGACATAGCAGACCAATTAAACATAACAACAGGGAGAGGAAGACACTTACAGAAATAAGATGACACTGAGGAAAGCAGAACAAACAGATACAGTTATGAAAGAATTTGAGGATATAAAATAACAAATAGCAAAGAACATAAAATACATACAAATAGCACTATGTTCCTATCTTGGTATTTGGCAAAATATTTGTTTGTAGTTATTTCATCATTGATGGTAGATATTATATCATTGGGCAGAAAATTCCAGAATGCTGTTGACTTGTATATGAAGGTAGATTTATCAAAATTTGTTATTGGTGCCAGGAGCATTATGTGACCAAAGGCTGCGCCTCTTGTGCTGTAACCATGCTCAGAGGCCATGTGTATCTGGTAAGCCAATCTGAACAGGTTTGTGGTAGAAATGATGCTCTGCAGTACAAAATAAAACATAAAGAAACTTTCTTTTCAACCATCAGCCAAGCTAGATATGCATGCATTTAGCTGACACGTGTCCTGTATGAGCAGCCTAGTGCCAGAGGAGCAGATTTAGAATTGATTTGATTACTGAGGGACTGACGAAAGCAGAACATTTTCTAGTCATTGATGATTGATGACTGATTCCTCTCCCCAGTTCTATGAAAATATTGTTCATATTTTTAGACCAGGATCATGAGCTGTCCAAGTTACGCCCCAGAAGTTTAACTGTGTTAACTTGTTTCAATATTTGTGGAACCAGCTACCAGTTAGTTGAGGGTTGTTGGCTAACATCGTCTGTATCATATCACATAGACTTTGTCTGGGGAAATATTTGCATATTTAAACTTACTGCTTGCTTGGATATGGCGGCACTGTACAGGGTGGTGTCGTTTTTTACACACAACAGCAACTCATTAGTAAAGATGAAGTGTAACAAAGGCCCTAAATGACTGCCATGACCACGAGATTGTATTTGGAGTGAAACCATTACACTGCTAATAAGCAAGGTATGATCATTTACATCGAAAGCCATGCTGAAATCCTACATGATTGCGGCCACTAATTTCATCTTATCCATGCTTATGAGCCACTCATTGGTCATAAGTGCAATGCCCGTTTAATGTTCTTTTCTGTATGCGTGCTGAAAGATGGACAGTAGATTGTTGCTTAAATACTTTCTTTTTTTTTGTAATTAATATGCTTAATAATGGTAAAATACTATAATAATAGGATGTACGTTATATTGTTTTTGTCTTACAGACGTGAAATGTTTTTGGCTTCCTTTCAAGCAATTGGATGTACCTCACTAGTTAGGCACTGACTGAAAATATGACATATTGGTATGGTGGCACATTTGGCTACAAGTTTAAGAATTTTACTATGCAGATTGTCTCAGCCAGGGGTAGTGGAGTCTGTTTGTGATATGAGTAACTTCATAACAATTTCTCTGTCAATCTGACTGAATTCAAAGAGACACTTCTTATCCCTCATAATCCAATTCTATATAAACGTAAGTGAGTTTGTCGTAAGTGCTAATATCGTAGGCAACTGGACTTGCTTGCGTTTCTTGAAGACGTTTCGCCTCTCATCCAAGAAGCTTCTTCAGTTCTAAATGACTGGTACGAAGTTGCAGGCTATAATCCCTGTGTGGGTGGGAACCCTTGCAGAGTCGTTTGTCTAAATCCACAATAACAAACAGGAAAAGAGAACAAATGTTTCCATTAAAGGGAAATTTCGGTTTATTTCAACCTGTCTCCTATCGTCCTAAATTTGTTTCAAGTGACTAGTGACATAAAAATAATAGTTAGCGTGTTAGCCGTTAGCCTAGATACAGCCGGGGCACATTAGTAGCCTCAGACCTGTTAAAACGTAAGTGAACGGGCAACGTTCAAGTGCAAAGTTAGTCCACTAAACAAGCTTTTTCTCCACAAAGACCGCCTCATATCGTTAGGATAAATGTCAGAGAACATATAGAAAACGACATGTAAACGTGTTGTCTTACCTTACCGGTGTGGTGCCATGTTTGTTTACCATTTAGCTCTGCTTTCCAAAGCGCGGCCAAAATATCGCGAGAACAAACAGCAACAGCTGGAAGGCAGAACTGGACAGTAGCCTGAAAAGTTCATTCATTTATTTTATGAAAGATTTATAGAATAATGGCTGACTTTTTGCCAGACTTCGACTTTGTGGAGGAGGAATTTGATTTTGCAGAGTTTGATGGCTGCCCTTATTTATTTGAGCCAGAATACACTGACAAAGAGCTTCGTGAAATTGAAGAACGGAGGAGAGAGAGAGAGAGAGAGAGAGAGGTGCAACAGGTAGAGGACGAGAGAGGAGGAATGGCTGCTGCAAGGCTGCTTAGCTCTGGAGATTGGTGGTGTACCTGTGAATGCTGTGCCCCATTGTCCACAGAAGAGGATTGTCTCTGTTGCAAGGAATGGGACCGGTTGCAGCCTTATTTTCAAGGTCTGGATGTGACCGAGGACGAGACACCTCCACCTGGAGTAACGTTAGTATCCAGCTGGGCTTTATCTATAGCTGGCGAGATATATTTCGGCCGTGCTTTGGAAAGCAGAGCTAAATGGTAAACAAACATGGCACCACACCGGTAAGGTAAGACAACACGTTTACATGTTGTTTTCTATATGTTCTCTGACATTTATCCTAACGATATGAGGTGGTCTTTGTGGAAAAAAGCTTGTTTAGTGGACTAACTTTGCACTTGAAGGGATGCCCGTTCACTTACGTTTTAACAGGTCTGATGCTACTATGCGCCCCGGCTGTATCTAGGCTAACGGCTAACATGCTAACTATTATTTTTATGTCACTAGTCACTTGAAACAAATTTAGGACGATAGGAGACAGGTTGAAATAAACCGAAATTTCCTTTTAAGAGGGTGGAGGGAAAACAAAAGGCAAATCGTTGCAAGTGAAGATGAGGGTACGTCCTGAAAAGGGAAGTCAACTCAAAGTTCTTCAGACAGCAGCAAAAGCTGCATTTAAAAGTTTGACATGAAAACTCTGGAATTTCTTTTTTCTACCAGATTTCTTTACACAGCGGGGACCCTGATGGTGGCCTTCTCAACTGCAGGTGAAAAACATTTCTCCCTTTCTTTGTTTTGTGCTTTCTTGGGAACCTTATTGTCTAAAGGAATTCTGACAAGAGCTAACAGTGACTCACTTGTTAATGCTCATTTTTTACCCCATCAGCTTTGTCCAACCTGATGTTCCCAGCCCTCTCCCTCATCGCAGCAGGTGGCATCATTTTTCTAATCACCAACATGCAGGTACTGAAGCAGATCTAAAAGCTTATTGTCAATTCTGTTGAATCTGATTTTTTTAATTATTCAGTTGATTGATCTATGAAATGTCAAAATGTACAAAACCCCAAATTGTTCAATTTACCATGAGAAAAACCAGAGAAAAGCAGCAAATCCGTAAACTTTGAATCATGTCCTATCATACTGTCAAATTTGATATTTTCTAGCTGTAAAAAAAAAACTATAGGCTTCTGTCTCATCATTTCTGGTTTGGTAATATATCTTGTTTTGAGCGTGCACTCTGTCAACAGAGCTGAGTAGAAAAGACAAATGATCAAGAACCACTAATTCATTGGACCCGCAAGATCTCAATCCCAATGCAGTCCTCTGGTTTGGTCTTCATGATCATTCTGTTCACTGGATATAAAAGACAGAGTCTCTCCTTAAAGGGCCAGTGTGTAATATTTGGCATGGTTTATTGTCAAATCTGAATCTGAATCTGAATATTCTACCCATTAATATGTTTATATAAGTGTATAATCGCTATAAAATAAAATTTGTTTGGTTTTCGTAGCCTTATAATTATGCTTTTATATATATATATATATATATGTATGTATATATAGCAAGGGCCTTGCTTTAGAGAGGTCACCATCTTGCGCCACCATGTATATACAGCAGACCGAGCAGACAATCCAGCCAGCCAGAGAACGCGTTTCGAGTGTATAAATAAACCAACGAAGACAGCGGAAGGAAGGAAGAAGGAGGAGGAAACAGCAGAGAGTGTTAGTAGTTCGTCGATAGAGAGTAGTCATCTGTGAGGAAAAGAAGACACAGCTTCACTCCTTGTGATGCACTCTCTGCGGCGCTTTCCCTCCTGATGATATATCTCCCCAGCGATGGTAGAAGTAACACTGAATGCCATTCTGTGCAGCAAAATAGGAGGATTCAGCCTCTCTTCTCGCCCGCTCAGCATCCAAGTTCCTCATCTGTATGCTCCGGCTCAAACAGGTATGGCTCTGGGTCTGTGTCCGCTACAAGAAACTCTTCAAAATCTTGTTCAAAGTCGTCCATTGCAGCTACTATAGTCCGGAGATATTGCTAGGCTAAATAAACAGCTGAGCTCTGTTTACAGGCTGCGCTGTCAGTCAGTGTGCGGGCTGCAGATTGGTGGAGCAGAGAGGGGAGGGGGTGCCCGCTAGGTAGCGTAAACGAGTATGTATGTATGGAGTGTGTGTGTTACGCTAGAAGAGTCAGAGTTTGGGACGGAGTCTTTTACCCCATGGAGTGTTACCAGAGTTTCTGGAGTGCTTAAATAAACTGGCCTTTTTCCCGAACGCTCCTCTGGTCTCCTGCTCGTGAGGGATTCATTACAATATCGTAACATGGTTTAGATTTCTAAATAAACATTCACCTCGTCGCTAGATAGACCTACTCCTGAAAAACTTGTGTCTGCGCAAGGCTTTTTTGTCCCTATGAGGCCACCGTCATTTACCCGATGGGAGGGGTGAGCAAGTGAGCCCTGCAATCTAGAATTTGACCACTGATGTCACTGTTTTCAACGGTTTTCAACCCATTTTACACAGTGGGCCTTTAATGCACTTTTGTTGGCTGCAGGGCTTTTCTTAAACTGAGCTTATTGTGGAGAAAAAGAGACAAAACACTCTCTGGGGAACTGTCCAAAACCACATCCTTGTGTTTAAACAGGCAATTCAGCTCAGCAAGAACAATTATTACATTAAATGATGGGAAAGCAGAGGCAAAAACAATTCTATCAGTTTAAGTTTCTCTCCTAAAGGTAGGAAACCTGTTCGGCTCACGTCGCTCCACCGTCATCACCCTCTACAATGGAGCCATCGACTCTTCAGCGGCACTCTTTCTTGTCATCAAGGTGAGAAACATTCACACACTGCTGTCATATATGCAATATGTTTATCATGTCTCAATGATGATCTTGTTGTCTTCTCCTGCAGCTGCTACATGAGGCTGGAGTCTCTCTCCTCCCCTCCTTCCTCTTCCTGTCTGCCTGCAGCATCTTTCACCTGCTCAGGACTTTCTTTCTGCTGCCCAGAGGCCATATTCCCTACCCGCTGCCTGATGACTACACATACGGGTACATATCCACAACAAACCACACACATCAACATTTCTCACCTGCTTTGAGGATACATCAAGATCAAAAATTGAATTTCAAAAATATAAGTAAATTACCTTTGATTGTGCCTTGTGAACCCAAACGCATGAGTAAGATAAAGAAAGAGGATTTACCAGAAAGGTGGTGAGGAATGCAGGTGAAATGAGCAGGGAGGTGGCTGGCTGAGGCAGAGGGCAAGAGGTGGGTGAGGTATGGCTGGACTGGCTGGAGCTGGATGAATGAGGGAGAATGGCCAGAGGTAGCAGCAGGTAAGTGAGTTGAAGAGCAGGCAAGCAGGCAGGCAGCAAGGTGATGATCCTGATTTCCTGGAGCCCAGGAAAGAAAGACAGCTATTAGTCTGGAATATAACACAAGGAAACAATCACTAGAGAGGCCAGAAATGTTTTCTATCACTGTGACTGAAAGAAAGATCTGGCGAATAATGGGTGAAGAGGTGGAGTAGATGTACTGCAGGATGAAGAGGCAGGTGTGTATAATCTGCATGGGGCAAGGAGCAGCATGGAAGGATACTGAGCTTTCCTCATCCATAAAAATTTGGTTAATGATAAATTCACTTGCAAAATTTGAAAAGCAAACAAATAAGTGATGACATTTGATGACAACACAGTTAATCCTCCCATCACAGTTTGTTGTCACATCATTGTGCCACATTCCTTGGAAACATCCTTCATATCCTGCTATGTGATTGTAGTGAATTATGACCTGAAAATCTCATATGTGAAGTAGATCATTATCAAGGAACTCCCACAATGCCCTCAGTCTGTTGCTAACCCACTGTGACCTTTGCCTTTTGTCAGGATAACCTGTGGTACATCAAGGACTCTGAGCTTAGAGCACATAACAGCGTATGGTAACACACAGACAACGACAGAGGGAGTTGAAGACGTCCCTGTGAAACAAGGTTTGTTCTCTTTACTGTGGCATGGTAAGATATGACAAAATAAAGAAATCATATGTTTATTTTTCTTAATTTTTCTTCTGTCCTTTTCATTCATCTATCTCTGTGTCAGAGAAGAGTTTCCGTGAGTGTTTGATGTCCAGATTTTTTGTGTGGCATGTGATTTGGTTGTCGGTGATGCTGCTCAGACATTACCTCTTCATCGGCACCCTCAATCCGATGCTGCAGCGGCTGACGGGGGGAGAGCCCTCACTGGGTAAACACACACACACACACACACACACACACACACACACACACACAGACACACACACACACACACACACACATACACACACACACACACATTATGTCAGGAGAGAGTGTGTGCAAACCTCTCATATTATGTCAATACAACAATGCTCACAATATGAGCAAGAAGCTGCTGTATATGATAGAAAGTACTTTCATCTCATATTCTGGCAGACTTGTTGAACTGTTGTTTGACTCCTTAGTCTGTGACCATCTTGTCTTTGCTTGTGTGTCCCTGCAGTGAGCCAGTACAGCAATGCCTTTGCAATAACGCAGCTGTGTGGCGTGCTGTGTGCTCCCTGGAACGGCCTCATCATGGACAGACACAAGGGCAAACCTCGTGCTGAAGGTAACATACTAATGAGGGCAAGTAAGGAACCCAACAGGCTGCAGCCATGGCAGACCTACTATCAGTGTGCCTCTGGTGTGCTCTCAGGGGCCCAGCATGTCAGTGGGCTCTTGCATGTCTAAAAAGACAATAAATATTAACTGGAAAAAGTCCCATTACTAACTGTAGTGGAAATCCAAAAGTACTGAATGGCACCCTCATGTTCCTTTCAATGATTATACAAAACAAAGGCGTATAAGAAAACAAATATATGATGGGTATAATTATTTTTGTTTGGGACCAAATGCCAAAAGTACTCAGCGCCAAAAAAGGCTTACTTTATGAGAGGTTTATAAGTTATAAGTATGTTATGAAAAATCTTTGCAGCTACAACACCAGACCTAATGACTCATTATTGCAGTGGGGTAACCCTTTAATGAAGGATTTAACATTGTTTCAATTACTGCAGACCTGATGGTTCATTATAAAGTGAGAAACTCATCACACTTTCGTTCTATCATTAAGCCATCCCGTTTGCAGGTGAAGAAAAATAAACCACAGCCCAAGAGAAGTTTCAAAGCTTGGTTCAAATTTGATCTTTATTGATAGCTTATTACTGACCAATAAAGCTTTAATAAATGGTTTATTAACTGTTATAAACTAGTTGTAAAATATGCCTTTTTAGAAAGTAGTGCAGAAATGTCCAATACAGTTTGCTTTATTGTTGTTATGCACACTACCTAAAGAGATTTTACACTTTGAATAAAAATAAAATAAATGTATGTTAAATGTGATGATAGATATTAGTAAATATAAATAAATTACCCAGGGAGCCATTGAGATCTTAACTCAAGCATTCAGTATAATAATAAAAGCCTACAAACAGTGCAGTGAATAGATGCTGTTGAGTGCTCTGATCTGTCTGTGTGGACCTGCCATCACTGTCTCTCTCTAGAGAACAAGTGTGTTTAATTTGTGTGTGTCTTTTTGTAGGAGAGAGTGAACAGGAAGCAGACCTGCGGGCCTCGGTGCTTTCTCTCTTCCTGACAGCACTGCAGTGTGTGGTGTTCTCAGTTTGTGCCACCATCCCAAACCTGCCACTTCAGTACTTCACCTTTGTCCTGCAGGTAATCAACCGCTCCTTCGTCTTCGGTGGCAACGCAGCCTTCGTCAGTGTGGCGTGAGTATCAAACACACACATGCACACACGTCTTTGTGGACCACACTTGTTCCCGAGGTGGGCAGCACACAGAGACACATTTTTATAAATGCACACTTCACATACAGTACTTACATATATAATGGTAAGGGGTTACAGAGAACTTTGTTTTCTAGTTCTGACATTGGGTGAGAGGTGGGGTACACCCTGGAGAGGCAGCCAGGCAATCACAGGGCTGACACATAGAGACAGACAACTATTTACGCTCACATTTCACACCTAGAGGTCATTCAGAGTTAAAAAATAAAGTGGCAATCATAGACCATGTGGGGCCTAAGGCAAGGATTGTGCTAATGCTTACACCTATCAGTTTTTGTATGACAGTTACAAGTAGCTAGCTTACTGTCCTAACTCATGGTATCCAGCTGTCATATGACAGCTAGATAGGACCCTACTAGGGACAACTGCTGTGCACTCTGTAGTGCCTTTATTGGTGCAAATTGTGACCATTATGAGTGGCCATCGAGGGCACCTTTTACCACTGTTTTTTGGGGGCCCAAACGTTTTCCTGGTTTGCCTCTCCCGATAGCTCGCACCTGGTCTATGAGTGGTGGAGCGAAAATTAATGGTTAAAAACTAAGCCAATGAAAATGCATGTTAATTAAAAGGGTTAGGGTTATTCACCTAAGTTCCGCTAAAACACCAAGGCATTGCCAACATGAACTGAAAGCTTTTCTCGTTCCATTCATAGCACATGTACATACAGAAACACCGTACCTTCCTTCCTTTTCAACGATTTCTATCATTTTCACCACTTCCTTTGCTTTGCCATGTCATCACTTTGTGTGTGTGTGTGTGTGTGTGTGTGTGTGTGTGTAGTTTCCCGTCGTGCCACTTTGGGAAGGTGTATGGTGTGATCATGGCTCTGTCTGGAGTGTTTGCTCTGCTGCAGTACGGCTGCTTTGCCCTGGTGAATGGGCCTCTGGATGGAGACCCTCTATATGTGAGTATATAACATACTGTGTAACTGATACAACTGTACATCTCACTCTGGTCCTTCTCACTTTATCACATTCTTTTTCAATGAACTCACTTCTGCTTCCTCCTCTTTCCCTTAATATGTCTGCAGGTTAACATCGGTCTGACGCTGCTCATCCTGCTCGCCTTCATCCATCCCATTTCTGTCTACCTGCACTGTCGAAGTCTCGCCTCCCAAAGAGCCATAAATGCTTCCTCTTAAAGTCTGTCAAATGAGAGTCACACTTAAAATGTCCTTTAATATCACTAGTGACACTGTTACTTCTTTAGCTTGATTGAATGATTAACTGTGCTTGTGTGGCTTTGTTGTATTGCCTTTTGCAGTGATTCTCGACTTACAGCCAACTCCAGCCCTCAATAGAAAATCCCAATGACAAATTGCAATAGCAAATTGATTCACACTACGAATTTTCTTTGTACTTTAAATGTAATTAAGGTGTCAGAATGCATAGAAAACATCAAAATAGAGCTTGTTTATAAAAAAGTTCCAGTGAAGGATCCCTCAGACCTCCTTGCTGTTTGCTGTTCTCAAATCCTAGAAATGCCCCCACGTACACCTGATTTGCGCAGGGCTGCTGCGACTGGATTTGTGTCTTGGCAAAGATGAGCAAGGACAGAAAACATTGATGTCAAAAAAATTTGTTTACTAACTGGCCCCTGACCTCCTGTCATTTTGCAAAAGTGGCCCCTGGGCAAAGTAACTTGAGTATCCCTGGCCTCTAGCATCCATAGCTTTGTGGACTTCGACAAACTGAATGTATTCATATAAATATTTATATTGCTATAGTTCTTTACACACACACACACACACACACACACACAGAGATATACATATATAGAATGTATCTTTTGATATGAACTATAGTAGTAGAGTAAAGGGAATTATTGCTTTTTATCATTTGCTTTTTATATTCAAATAAACATTGAAATTATATTTAATGGCTTGATCATGAATTCTCTGTTGTTTTTTTCCCAGTGTTTGCTTCACCAATACCATGTACTGTATGTATTTAGTACAACATTAGCTGCGCACGGTGTAATTGTCAAAATATTAAAAGGTATAGTAGTCCAAGTTCTAGATAAGGAGGGTTTCATGTAGATATTTAATATGTATAGGCAGTATGCCTAAATTGTTGCTTTTCCCCAGAAGTTGTGCTTTGTTGTCACCAAAAACCTGCATTCAACGTCTTCATAATCGGTTGGCTTCCTCCAACACTGCGCTGAAGTAGCCTATACGAGTTACTTAATCAAAATACTAAAAGTAAATTCAGGAAACAAAGAATGGCAAACTTTATGATAGCCTACTTCCCTCATGTTAAGAAAGACATCCAAGTAGGCTATTTCTTATAACGTTATATATGCTATTGTGTTTAATGACGGTGTTAAGTGTCTTATTTTGACAGACTGTGATGCATTACTCTTCAAGGAAACGCAATACTGATTAAACCCATCCTATCAATGCCTTTCTTGATGCTACTTTTTGGCTGTTATACAGCCATCCTCTCTGATCCTCTGCTGCCCAAGACTGTGGGTGACTGCCCTCGGGTATAAACAGGCTCCCAGGACTCCAGCGGGTCACTGCCTGCAGCTGTCACCCACCAGTGTGCACGTTTTAAGACTCAAGAAACAATCAAATTATAAACTTAAACATCACAGAAATATTTCCATGTCATTCTGTGAATCAGCAGTCGTGTGTGTGTTTATGGAAAACAGTTGAATTTCTGGATGTCTGAAGCTTTTACGGACAGTCATTTTTAGCCTGTTCTGAACAGTTGTGCAATACTTGTACAATGTTTAACACTCAGATCAACAGGAAGGCAAGCCAAGCATTAAAAGAGGTAGCATTTTTCGCCCACTGAGGGTCTTCCTCAGGGCTTTCAAATTAGAGTTACACGAGGTAAGACACCTAGAAAAAATACATTTAGATATACTATACACCTATCTTAACCCACAGGCTGTGTGAAAAATGGCAAAGCTTAAACAATGACAAATAGCATAAAACATGTGAAGTCTATATCCTCATTAAGACCAGGATGCTTTAAAGCATCCAGTTCATGGATCCAAAAAGCTTCCCCTTGATTAAATTAAGATTAACTTTTGTTGGACACTCCCTGTTACTGCAAATAAAACTTATCTAGTAGGAATTTTGTATTTCACTAGCTCAGTTGACAGCTCATGTTGGTGATTTCAAACTCTTATTTTTCAAATTAATTATTTTTCTTCATCACACATGACCAAAACTCTTCCAGAAAATAATATCGCCTGAGGAACTATTATGTTATTCATTTACTTATGTGTTTTATATCATAAAATTCAAGAGGGGTCAGTGATGATGTTACACCCCTGTAAAGGGGAATAATACAAGGAAAAACACAGACACGATGTTACTTCAGTCACGTCCAGTGTTGTAATGGACAAACGAAAGCAACGTCTTCCCCTCTACAATTTAGCTCAGACGCAAGCAATCAAAACCTGGTCAATAATTAGAGAAACAACTTTCAAAGAAATAAACTTGAAGAAAAAGAATCACTGTAGCAAACAATATAAAATAGCAATCAGAATAGCAATAGTAACCAAAATAGCATCAGGAATTACTTATGTTTTAAACACAGATGATCCTTTTTTAATTTATCACTCTATACTCATTTGTCTCAGTTTTTACCTTTGATGAATAATGTTTTGTTTTTAACCATGTACTCTCATGAATTAAAGCATTCTTTTGCTTACTGTTTTTAGCATGTTCACATAAGTATTTTTTAGTGTTGAACAGCATTTTAACTTAACTTTTACTTTTATAACCATTACAATGACAGCATTTGTATTGTTACATTTATGGCCATACGCAGGATTTTAGAAATACCATAGTCCAAAAAACTGCAAGAAACACCTGTTTGAGGCTGCACCATTTTGGAAGTGAAAAATAAAAATGTGTTTCACACAGTACATAAGCAAAATGTGTGTCACATAATATTTATACATTAATACTATATTATTTATGCTAAGTGCTTGTGTTGCTCTTAAAGTCAGCAAGTTCCACTGTAATAACCAAATTAAAACTATATCTCTGTGTTAATGACATTGTTTGAATTAGATCAGTTTTGTTTGTATTAAACAGCACAGGGACATAAAGCTAATTCTTATCACATCTTCATCACCTTCTCTCTTTCTTTTTCTCTCAGTCTCCTGATCTTGTCCTGCAGCACTTCCCTTCCCAAAGCTGAGCTTTGATAGATAGTGTTATGCCCAGTCTAGGGGTGTCTGGGACACAACATGAAAGGCCCCCATCTTCCCCAAGTCCCAAGTAGTCACAATGAAAAAGACGTATGGAACGATCATTAGTTCGAATTTATTTACAATATTTAAATAACAGAATTAATTGAAATAGTAACTTCAGGGTGGACTAAGGTCAAAATAACAAACAAAAACAATCCTGCCCAGGGAGTAAGTAAATAACCGAACCAAATAATAAAAAAAACAAATGACAAAAAGCTTACCTCCCTAACTAACTAAACAGGAGAAAAAGTGTTATTAACAAAACTGGCAGCCCACCCCTACGATTTAACAGTCTTTAACACAATAATGATTTACTACAACAACACAACAATATGTGTGGCCGGTTGGGAGAGGAGGAAGGTGAGGTCTGCCTGCTAGCTCCAAGCAACTGCCATCTTAGTCCTTTAACGACCCGAACGCCCTTGGCGGCAGCCAATCAGGAACGAGCACAGATCCAATTCACCAATCACCGCCGGGCTGTGGCACACACCTATTTGCATACGGAAAATACAGAACACAGAGAACACGCACAGAGAACACATGCAGGAAAACACACACAAACAAAAGAAATTACGCCAACAGTCGTAACAATAGTCTTTTCATGACCTTTTCATTCCCTGTAATCACAGGGTCATCGCATAGCCTATTTACATATAAATATCAGATGACCCTGTGATGTAATCACAGGGTCATCTGATAGCCTATTTACATATAAATATCAGATGACCCTGTGATGTAATCACAGGGTCATCTGATAGAACATCTAATATTTATATGTAAATATGTTCTATTAGATTGATATGTCTCAATGTATTATTATATTTATGTGTAAATATCACTGGCCTCCACTGGGATCATCTTGTAGTGAAAATAAAAATATGGTGATGCACAGCAGAGAGTACGGAAGACGAGAAAGGCCATGTATTATTCTTTTTTTGTGCACTGTTATCTCAAGATAACGAATTAATAAGTCGTTATCACGAGATAACAGTGCACAAAAAAAGAATAATACATGGCCGTTCTCGTCTTCCGTAAGAGAGAATTACTGAGAGAGAGAAAACTTTGGGGAGGGAGAAGAGGGAGGGAACTGGTGAGGAAGAGGAAAGAAGAGCTGGCCAATATAAAGAATGAGAGTGGATCAAAAGTAGAGACAAGCAGTTCGTGAGAACATTTGGGGAGACCGACTATAACTGTGAGTACTGGAGAATAATATAATTTGACAACTGTGCATTTTTTATGTCTTCACAGGAAGTTACTTTGTTAAAAAGTCTTGTTTGTACATTGTGAGTGATCCCTTTTGTTAAGATGGGAGCTTCATTTCAAGTCCATTTTTGGGTTTAGGGACAGAACTGCCAGCCTTGACACAAGCAGCACAATTTTGTGCACAGATATTTTAGCTCATGTCGTGCTAGTGCAGCTTTTTTTCCATTTAAGTGCTTTCTATGTTATGCAGGTCAGGTTCTTTTTATATGAACATGTAACTGCTTTAAAGGGGCAGAACGGTTGATTTGTAGTTCTCTATAAATGTATCAGAGTTTTTTAATTCCTTTGTTTGGCAGGTGCAGTCACATAAGCGACCTTTGTGTGTGCATGCATATATGTCCATGCAGGTGAAAATACTGTATTTGTGAAAGTGTGAGTGTGTGTGGGACCATGCCGGGTTTTGTGAACAATTTGAAGGTGCAACACTGCCTCACCTTTGCTACCGGTCTGGTGGAGTGTCTGGTTTTCGCCGGGGCTGTGTTTGGATGGGCTTCACTGGTTTTTGTCCTGAAGACGGAGGGCTACTTCAGCTCTCTGTGCGTCAACACCACAGGAGTCAATGCAACAAATGTCTTAGGTCAGTTTGACATCCTAAACTCCACTGCTTTGAACTCAAAGTAATGGAGGATATATTAAAAAAATTACAACTCATTATGCAGCCATGTCTTACCCTCATTGTCACCTTCAATGCCAGCAAGGGCCTGCATAAAGAGGTGTTTTTGATAATGATTATGCAGGCCGCTCTGACCATATAATCAACTTGTGTGTTTTATGTGTCTACAGATTGCAGTGGACAAGATGAGCAGTTCTCTCTTGTTTTCACCATCGCCTCTTTTATGTTCAATTTCCTGACTCTACCCAATGGTTTCCTCTTTGACCAGTTTGGTACCACAGTGGCTCGGCTCTTTGGGATGTGAGTCCAACAACACCTTAATTATTCAAGAGTTAATGGTCAGTGGATTGAAAATATTACATCTGGTATTTGCCATCCAAGCAGTTAGAATTGTTCATTAGTGTGACTATTGCCAGCTGATATTTTCAACCTCTAGCCTTAGACAACCGCCAGAACGGTCCTGCTTCTATTGCTGACTTTAAGGTTGTCCTTTAGACCTGCTGTGTCCATCGGACCTGCCATCTGTACGACCTCCTGAGAGCTTCCATCTATCTGCTCTGCCCCAGGCCATCTGCTTGAGGTCCCTGTCCCCGTTTTACCCGGGTTTTCAGGCCACTTGCCTCGGAATCCGTCCTCTAGACCCACCCTGCTCCATATTCCTGACTAGCCTGGTGGGATGTCCCATCCAACCCTGGAGGAGGGGAATCTCTCTCTTTGTCCCTCCTCTCCAGGCCCCGTCATCGTCATTTTCCATCCATCTACCAGATGCCCTTGGACTTTCCCTCCTTTCCCCATCACGGGGCTGCCTCACCCATCTTCACACCTGTTTCCACTTACCTCATTTGCTCTGCAGTTGCCTGGATCTTCCCCGCCCACCCTCATCATCCACTCTCTGTTTTTACCAATACTGATCCTTTGTTCCTCTGCCAGTTTGTCGTTGTTGCATTTTGTGTTTCCTTTCAAGCCACCTGTGACAGTAACCTGATGCCTCGACTGTCTGCGTTTGGGTCACGGTTGCGTCAGTTTCCTGCGATGTCATTGTATCAAATGTCACTGTTTCCCTTGAATTGCTGAAAGTGTATTAATTTACATTTAGCCAAAGATTAATTGTCTCATCTCAAATTCTTCACAATGTAAAATCTTGTCATTGGAAACACCTGTCTCTAATGCTGATAAAATGACACGATAACACTGGAACGTCTTTTTCTCACTAGATCTCTTTACACCACAGGGACCTTGATGGTGGCCTTCTCGACTCCAGGTGGTAACATTTCTCTTTCTCTTTGTTTTGTGCTCCCCAGCACCCTCATAGTCTAAAGAAATACTGCCAAGAAGTAACAGTCACTGTCATCTATCAATGCTAATTTTTCTTTCCCCATCAGCTTTGTCCAATCTGATGTTCCCAGCTCTGTCCCTCCTGGCAGTGGGCGACATCTTGTTTATAATGACAAACGTGCAGGTACTGAAGCAGCTGTTTGGGTTAGAAAAGACTTAATATTATTGTGTGTTTTGATTGATCTGCCGATATTTTCTCGATTATCCAATTTTTTTGTCCATGAAATGTCAGAAAATGGTGAAAGTTGCAACTTTTTGTGTCCAACCAAAAGTCAAAAATCCCTAAATTTACTATGATATCAAACTGAGAAAAACAGGAAATCCTCAGTATAAAATAATATAATATATAATTGTAGACGAGGGGTCTGGGGGGCCCTAGAGTCAGGATGGAGGATGTGGTGGTTCCTTTCTGTACAGCCTAAGGTCTGCCCCTCTGGAAGTTCAGGATCCAATCACAGAAGACAGTGTGAGTCCTAGGTTTTTGAGCTTGATTACGAGCTTGGAGGGCACAGTAGTGTTGAATGCTAAGCTGTTGTCTATATATGCATTCTACTGGTCCAGGTACGAGAGACAATGTGAACAGCTAAGGTGATGGTGTTGTCTGTAGATCTGTTTGGCCTGTATTCAAATTATAGTGGGTCCAGTGAGTCAGGGAGGGAAAAGGTGATTTAGGATTTGACCAACTGCTCAAACCACTTCATAATGGTGAAGGTGAACGCTACTGAGTGGCTGTAATTCAGGCAGAGGGCTTTGGTCTCTCTGGGGACAGGGACAGTGGTAGTCTTCTTGAAACATGTGGGGACTACAGACTGGAGCAGTGAGGGGTTGTCTTTGGAGACATCTGCCACTTGATGTACATATACCTTGAGAGCTTGGCCAAGTCATGTGCTTTGCATGATTTAATCGTTTTAAAAGACTTATACAGATTTACTAGTCCATACCCATTGGTAGCTTTGTCACCTTCTACCTATGCCAATCCTCAATGCCTATGTGCAGTTTCACATAGATTGACCACGTCAGTGAGTAGAAAAACGTGGGACAGACAGAATGACACATTGACAGAATGACACACTGACAGTTTCCATGATTATGTACAGCATATGACTTAGTCATACCAAAAATTAGAAAAAAAAAACAAAAAAACATTTGGCCACAGGGGGAGCCACAGCGATCGGTCGCATTTTAGCCATTTTTAAGCATTTTTCTTTTGTTATAGCGCCACCCAGTTGTCAATTAGAGTTAAATTTCTCCAGTCACCTTGAGGCGTCCTGTTCTACATATCTACCAAGTTTAGTAAAAATCAATATGGTGGTTAGGCCTAGATAAGAAATGAGCTCTCTAGCGCCCCCATTTTGTTTGATCGGGTCAATAATGGAGGTGTCCCCTCAGATTATGTGTGGTCATACGCCTACAAAGTTGTGTGGTGATGGGTGAAACCCTTGAGATGTTATACACCTTTATGTGATGAGCCACGCCCTCAGCAATATTCATTGCCTTATTGAAGCTCAGTTTTAGTAAGTTTTCCAACTTTTTCCAAGAGGGAACTTTAGATATTGGTCCCTAGATTATGTTCACCGAGTTTCATGCAGATCGGTCAAACTTCCTAGGAAGAGATCGATTTTAAAGGGCCAGTGTGTAAAATGGGTTGAAAACAGTGACATCAGTGTCCAAATTCTAGATTGCAGTGTTTACTCGCTCACCCCTCCCTTCGGGTAAATGACTGTGGTCTCTTAGGGACAAAAAGCCTTGCGCACAAGTTTTTCAGGAGTAGGTCTATCTAGCGACGAGTTGTATGTTTATGTATGTTTAGAAATCTAAGCCATGTTACGATATTGTAATGAATCCCTCATGAGCAGGAGACCAGAGGAGCGTTCGGGAAAAAGGCCCGTTTATTTGAGCACTCCAAAAACTCCGGTAACACTCCAGGAGGTAAAAGACTCCGTCCCAAACTCTGACTCTTCTAGCGTAACAGACACACTTCATAACTTTACACACACACTCGTTTACCATGCTGAGTGGGGACCCCCCTCCCCTCTCTGCTCAATCTCCAGCCCGCACACTGACTGACAACGTGGCCGGTAAACAGAGCTCAGCTGTTTATTTAGCCTAGCGATATCTCCGGACTATAGTCGCTGCAATGGATGACTTTGAACACGATTTTGAAGAGTTTCTTGTAGCAGACACAGACCCAGAGCCATACCTGTTTGAGCCGGAGCATACAGATGAGGAACTCCATGTGTTTGATGCTGAGCGGACGAGAAGAGAGGCTGAATGCACAGAATGGGATTCAGTGCTACTGCTACCATCGTTGGGGAGATAAATCACCAGGAGGAAAAGCGCCGCAGAGAGTGCATCACAAGGAGTGAAGTTGCATCTTCTTTTCCTCGCAGATGACGGTTCGGGTTCATTCTCTCCTGTTGCGTGGTAAGTGTGGTCCATTCGCAAACTTTATAACTAAAAAAACTTTTCACTACTCTCTATCAACGAACTACTAACACTCTCTGCTGTTTCCTCCTCCTTCTTCCTTCCTTCTGCTGTCTTCGTTGGTTTATTTATACACGCGAAAGGCGTTCTCTGGCTGGCTGGATTGTTCGCTCGGTCTGCCGTACATACATGGCGGCGCAAGATGGTGACCTCTCTAAAGCAAGGCCCTTGCTATATACAGTACAGGCCAAAAGTTTGGACACACCTTTTCATTCAATGCGTTTTCTTTATTTTCATGACTATTTACATTGTAGATTCTCACTGAAGGCATCAAAACTATGAATGAACACATGTGGAGTTATGTACTTAACAAAAAAAGGTGAAATAACTGAAAACATGTTTTATATTCTAGTTTCTTCAAAATAGCCACCCTTTGCTCTGATTACTGCTTTGCACACTCTTGGCATTCTCTCCATGAGCTTCAAGAGGTAGTCACCTGAAATGGTTTTCCAACAGTCTTGAAGGAGTTCCCAGAGGTGTTTAGCACTTGTTGGCCCCTTTGCCTTCACTCTGCGGTCCAGCTCACCCCAAACCATCTCGATTGGGTTCAGGTCCGGTGACTGTGGAGGCCAGGTCATCTGCCGCAGCACTCCATCACTCTCCTTCTTGGTCAAATAGCCCTTACACAGCCTGGAGGTGTGTTTGGGGTCATTGTCCTGTTGAAAAATAAATGATCGTCCAACTAAACGCAAACCGGATGGGATGGCATGTCGCTGCAGGATGCTGTGGTAGCCATGCTGGTTCAGTGTGCCTTCAATTTTGAATAAATCCCCAACAGTGTCACCAGCAAAACACCCCCACACCATCACACCTCCTCCTCCATGCTTCACAGTGGGAACCAGGCATGTGGAATCCATCCGTTCACCTTTTCTGCGTCTCACAAAGACACGGCGGTTGGAACCAAAGATCTCAAATTTGGACTCATCAGACCAAAGCACAGATTTCCACTGGTCTAATGTCCATTCCTTGTGTTTCTTGGCCCAAACAAATCTCTTCTGCTTGTTGCCTCTCCTTAGCAGTGGTTTCCTAGCAGCTATTTGACCATGAAGGCCTGATTGGCGCAGTCTCCTCTTAACAGTTGTTCTAGAGATGGGTCTGCTGCTAGAACTCTGTGTGGCATTCATCTGGTCTCTGATCTGAGCTGCTGTTAACTTGCGATTTCTGAGGCTGGTGACTCGGATGAACTTATCCTCAGAAGCAGAGGTGACTCTTGGTCTTCCTTTCCTGGGTCGGTCCTCATGTGTGCCAGTTTCGTTGTAGCGCTTGATGGTTTTTGCGACTCCACTTGGGGACACATTTAAAGTTTTTGCAATTTTCCGGACTGACTGACCTTCATTTCTTAAAGTAATGATGGCCACTCGTTTTTCTTTAGTTAGCTGATTGGTTCTTGCCATAATATGAATTTTAACAGTTGTCCAATAGGGCTGTCGGCTGTGTATTAACCTGACTTCTGCACAACACAACTGATGGTCCCAACCCCATTGATAAAGCAAGAAATTCCACTAATTAACCCTGATAAGGCACACCTGTGAAGTGGAAACCATTTCAGGTGACTACCTCTTGAAGCTCATGGAGAGAATGCCAAGAGTGTGCAAAGCAGTAATCAGAGCAAAGGGTGGCTATTTTGAAGAAACTAGAATATAAAACATGTTTTCAGTTATTTCACCTTTTTTTGTTAAGTACATAACTCCACATGTGTTCATTCATAGTTTTGATGCCTTCAGTGAGAATCTACAATGTAAATAGTCATGAAAATAAAGAAAACGCATTGAATGAGAAGGTGTGTCCAAACTTTTGGCCTGTACTGTATATAAAAGCATAGCTATAAGGCTACGAAAACCAAACGAATTTTATTTTATAGTGATTATACACTTGTATAAACATATTAATGGGTAGAAGATTCAGATTCAGATTCAGATTCACAATAAACCATGCCAAATATTACACACTGGCCCTTTAAGTGTTTTTCAAAAAATTCAAAATGGCGGAAAATCTATAAATACGGAAGTTATGGGTCCTTGAGGCAAATTTGTTTGCTAGATTGCTAGATGTTTTATTTCTTGAGCAATTTTTTTGCCATGGTGGCAAAAATGCAGAAAGCTTGTTGCACTTTTTCATTTTGAAAGACCAATGTTCAGTGGGGAAACTCTAACTTGACTGACTGCTTTGACTGGCTTTGACTTAACTGGCCCCTGCTTTGCTGTCCAGCCAAAAAAACATTGAAGTCTGCCCTCAGGTTATCACTTAACAGAAACACAAGCAAAAGAGAGAGCGTCTGCCCTCAGAGCACTTTTTCTAGCTGCAGGTCTTTTCTCAGACAACACAAGCTTATTCAAACAGGCAATTCAAATCATCAAGAACAAATCTCACAGTGAATGATGGAAAAGTAGATGCAGACAAAAATGCAGACATGTAGACATTGTTTTAATAAATTCAAAATTCTCTCTTAAAGGTAGGAAACCTTTTCGGCTCACATCGCTCCACCATCATCACTCTCTACAACGGGGCTGTGGACTCTTCCTCAGCACTCTTTTTTGTCATCAAGGTGAGAAACATTCACACACTACCTTTATTTATATATATATTTAAAAATGTATA